TTGTTTTCTTGTACTGATACAATATCTGCTGAAGTAAGAGAATTTTATTGCGGTGACAAGAGTATGGCCCGTACCATTCTTCACCACAGCAGCTGCACGGCACTAAGCTTAATGAAGGAGAGAGTTCTGTTGTCTTTCAGTGCTGCAGGAGTGTAAAAAGACAGGAATCTCCACAGGCTCTTAAGGGCCAATTTCCGCCTCAAGACTATAGGAGCATGTGACAAAAGGGAAATTTAGACAGGAATGTCTGGTGGTAGCAAGAACAAAACCTATACCCCCCCCAAAAAAAGTTTTTGTTTGCGTTGCAGTCTGCCTCCATCTCTCTTTCTCTGTGCGATTGCTTGTTTTTCTGTCAGATGAGATTAGAATTTCCTCCTGACTAAAGAGACAAATCATTTTCAAAGCAGATACCCAAGCGAGCTTGATAGTATTTATTGAGCCGGTCCACTAAACAGCTCTTGTGGCAGCATTGATTCAAACCATGTGAGCTCGTCTGAGGGAGACGGTGGGGGTTTGGCCCAGGAAAAGACCTCTGATCCCTCAACTCCACATTGTTTTGCTCCAAGTAGAGTTGCAGGGGTGGGGTAGGAGGTGAGGATAGCATACTGCTTGTTGCTTTACTGCTTGGATGTAATAAAAACGTTTAATGCACATGTAGGGGATGTTGGTTGGGGAGAAGATGCGTAATCTGTTGTTGTTGTCACGTGGCTCATTGGGTCACATGGTGGAAAACTAAATAGATTTGTTTTTTCTACCTTCTGGTTTTTTTTTAACAATTAAAAAGCTCAAGTCAAATCAAAAACATTTGGTTACATTGTTGTTGTTTTTTTAAAAAAAAAAAGGAAAGTGCTTGGTACTTTTGCGCTACTGGTTCTTTCTTCTTAGTGTTTTTATGATTTAACATCGTCTTTTCCATGTTGGATCTGTCTATTCGTTAAGATCCTAATCTCAGTATCTCAACGGGCTGCTACTGCTGGGGACTAGTTGGCAAGCAGCATTCATGGTAGTCTCCAAAACATCTGTTTGCAGAGGTTTTCATTTTATTGAATCTCACAAAGGCTTACATTCTTCTTGCTTGAACTTTGAACATGTTCAAAAGTAATTGTGCAACACATTTTCTCTCAAATTACTCCCAGGGTTGTTGTGGTCACATTGAACCCTTATCAAGAGTGCTAGAACTGTGTTTGGACAGCAGCACTAGAGCTACAGTCCGGAATGTTCAAGTCTGAAAACCACGCTAATGATAAATAATTTAAATCATAAACGTGGAGGCAGCTGCCAAGGTGGGTGCAGAGTGTGCTAATGTGGGTAGAGGTGGACAACTAATGATGTGCATGGCATAGAATACAGTTTTTCAAGCTGTGCAAATGCAAATTAGTTTAAGATAGATAGATGGATGGATGGGGATGGATGGATGGATGGATGGATGGATACATGCATAGATACATGCATAGAGACATGCATAGAGACATACATAGATACATGCATATTTACTTAGATGCATACATAAAAACATAGATACATACATAGATACATGCATATTTACATATATACATACATAAATACATAG